TCCTGCACCCACTTTCCTGTAACCACAAACTTTTGCTGAACACTCTTAACACTATATGTTCTAAAAACCTACCCCATACCTCATCAACCTCATTGCCTATACTCTCTCTGTTCCATCTTCTTCCAATAGTTGTTTATATCTTACCCTGACTACCTCCTTCTTTAGTTTATAAACCTTCACCCCTCTCTTACTTGCTGATTCCATTCTCCTTGTATCCCATCTACCTTTTAGTCTCACTATAGCTACAACTAAAAAGTTATCTGATATATCTGTGGCCCCTCTATAAACATGCACATCCTGAAGTAAACCCATCAGTCTTTTATCTACCAATACATAGTCCAACAAACTACTCTCATTATGCCCTATATCTTGCATACCTATCCTTTTTTTTTTTTTCTTAAAATATGCATTACCTATAACCAAACCCCTTTCTAACTGTTTCTCCCACTTTATTATTTAAGTCCCTTACAACAGTTACTCTCTTAATTTGTTTCAAAGGTTCCTAAACACTCGCTTAACCTCTCCCAAAATCTCTCTTCTACACTCCTCTCTTTAGGTGTTTTTTTTTTTTTTCAACAAGTCGGCCATCTCCCACCGAGGCAGGGTGACCCAAAAAAGAAAGAAAATCCCCAAAAAGAAAATGCTTTCATCATCATTCAACACTTGCACCACACACACACATTATCACTGTTTTTGCAGAGGTGCTCAGAATATAACAGTTTAGAAGCATATACGTATAAAGATACTTAACATATCCCTCCAAACTGCCAATATCCCAAACCCCTCCTTTAAAGTGCAGGCATTGTACTTCCCATTTCCAGAACTCAAGTCCGACTATATGAAAATAACCTGTTTCCCTGAATCCCTTCACTACATATTACCCTGCTCACACTCTAACAGATCGTCAGGTCCCAAGTACCATTCGTCTCCATTCACTCCTATCTAACATGCTCACACACGCTTGCTGGAAGTCCAAGCCCCTCGCCCACAAAACCTCCTGTACCCCCTCTCTCCAACCCTTTCGAGGACGACCCCTACCTCGCCTTCCTTTCCCTATAGATTTATATGCTTTCCATGTCATTCTACTTTGATCCATTCTCTCTAAATGACCAAACCACCTCAACAACCCCTCTTCTGCCCTCTGACTAATACTTTTATTAACTCCACACCTTTTCCTAATTTCCACACTCCGAATTTTCTGCATAATATTTACACCACACATTGCCGTAGACAGGACATCTCCACTGCCTCCAACTGTCTCCTCGCTGCTGCATTTACCACCCAAGCTTCACACCCATATAAGAGTGTTGGTACTACTATACTTTCATACATTCCCTTCTTTGCCTCCATAGATAACGTTTTTTGACTCCACATGTACCTCAACGCACCACTCGCCTTTTTTCCCTCATCAATTCTATGATTAACCTCATCCTTCATAAATCCATCCGCCGACACGTCAACTCCCAAGTATCTGAAAACATTCACTTCTTTCATACTCCTCCTCCCCAATTTGTTATCCAATTTTTCTTTATCTAAATCATTTGATACCCTCATCACCTTACTCTTTTCTATGTTCACTTTCAACTTTCTACCTTTACACACATTCCCAAACTCATCCACTAACCTTTGCAATTTTTTCTTTAGAATCTCCCATAAGCACAGTATCATCAGCAAAAAGTAACTGTGTCAATTCCCATTTTGAATTTGATTCCCCAAAATTTAATCCCACCCCTCTCCCGAACACCCTAGCATTTACTTCCTTTACAACCCCATCTATAAATATATTAAACAACCATGGTGACATTACACATCCCTGTCTAAGACCTACGTTTACTGGGAAGTAGTCTCCCTCTCTTCTACACACCCTAACCTGAGCCTCGCTATCCTCATAAAAACTCTTTACAGCATTTAATAACTTACCACCTATTCTATATACTTGCAACATCTGCCACATTGCTCCTCTATCCACTCTATCATATGCCTTTTCTAAATCCATAAATGCAATAAAAACTTCCCTATCTTTATCTAAATACTGTTCACATATGTGCTTCAATGTAAACACTTGATCTACACATCCTCTACCCACTCTGAAACCTCCTTGCTCATCCACAGTCCTACATTCTGTCTTACCTCTAATTCTTTCAATTATAACCCTACCGTGCAATTTTCCTGGTATACTCAGTAAACTTATTCCTCTATAATTTTTAGAATCTCTTTTGTCCCCTTTCCCTTTATATAAAGGGACTATACATGGTCTCTGCCAATCCCTAGGTACCTTCCCCTCTTTCATACATTTATTAAACAAAAGTACCAACCACTCCAACACTGTATCCCCCCCTACTTTTAACATTTCTGTCATGATCCCATTAGTTTCAGCTGCTTTACCCCCTTTCATTCTACGTAATGCCTCACGTACCTCCCCCACACTTAAATTCTGCTCTTCTTCGCTCCTAAAAGATTGTATACCTCCCTGACCAGTGCGTGAAATTACCGCCTCTCTTTCTTCCTCAACATTTAAAAGTTCCTCAAAATATTCTTGCCATCTACCTAATAATCCATCTCCCCATCTAACTCCCCTACTCTGTTTTTAACTGACAAATCCATACTTTCCCTAGGCTTTCTTAACTTGTTTAATTCACTCCAAAATTTTTTCTTATTTTCATTAAAATTTCTTGACAGTGCCTCTCCCACTCTATCATCTGCTCTCCTTTTGCACTCTCTCACCACTCTCTTCACCTTTCTTTTACTGTCCATATACTCTGCTCTTCTTATAACACTTCTGCTTTGTAAAAACCTCTCATAAGCTACCTTTTTCTCTTTTATCACACCCTTTACTTCATCATTCCACCAATCACTCCTCTTTCCTCCTGCCCCCACCCTCCTATAACCACAAACTTCTGCCCCACATTCTAATGCTGCATTTTTAAAACTATTCTAACCCTCTTCAACCCCCCCCACTACTTATCTTTGCACTAGCCCACCTTTCTGCCAATAGTCGCTTATATCTCACCCGAACTTCCTCCTCCCTTAGTTTATACACTTTCACCTCCCTCTTACTTGTTGTTGCCACCTTCCTCTTTTCCCATCTACCTCTTACTCTAACTGTAGCTATAACTAAATAATGATCTGATATATCAGTTGCCCCTCTATAAACATGTACATCCTGGAGCCTACCCATCAACCTTTTATCCACCAACACATAATGTAATAAACTACTTTCATTACGTGCTACATCATACCTTGTATATTTATTTATCCTCTTTTTCATAAAATATGTATTACTTATTACCAAATCTCTTTCTACACATAGCTCAATTAAAGGCTCCCCATTTACATTTACCCCTGGCACCCCAAATTTACCTACTACTCCCTCCATAACATTTTTACCCACTTTAGCATTGAAATCCCCAACCACCATTACTGTCACACTTGATTCAAAACTCCCCACGCATTCACTCAACATTTCCCAAAATCTCTCTTCTCCAGGTGCATACACGCTTATTGTAACCCACTTTTCACATCCAATCTTTATTTTACTCCGCATAATCCTTGAATTAATACATTTATAGTCCCTCTTTTCCTGCCATAGCTTATCCTTCAACATTATTGCTACTCCTTCTTTAGCTCTATCTCTGTTTGAAACCCCTGACCTAATCCCATTTATTCCTCTCCATTGAAACTCTCCCACCCCCCTCAGCTTTGTTTCACTTAAAGCCAGTATATCCAGCTTCTTCTCATTCATAACATCCACAATCATCTCTTTCTTATCATTTGCACAACATCCATGCACATTCAGACTTCCCACTTTGACAATTTTCTTCTTATTATTCATTTTAGTAATCTTTACAGGAAAAGGGGTTACTAGCCCATTGTTCCCGCCATTTTAGTTGAGTTTTACAACTCGCATGGCTTATGGAGGAAAGATTCTTATTCCATTTCCCCATGGATTTAAAAGGAAAAGTAATAAGAACAAGAACTATTAAGATAAAATCAAAGAAAACTCAGATGAGTGTGTATAAATAAACGGGTACATGTAAGTGTAGTGTGACCTAAGTGTAAGTAGAAGTAGCAAGACATACCTGTAATCTTGCATATTTATGAGACAGACAAAAGACACCAGCAATCCTACCATCATGTAAAACAATTACAGGCTTTCGTTTTACACTCACTTGGCAGGATGGTAGTACCTCCCTGGGTGGTTGCTGTCTACCAACCTACTACCTACAAAATATATAAACAGCAATTGTGACAACACTATATTAAACTCATTATCCTGGACAATACCTCTCAAATGCCAGCATTCATTTCTCTCACAACCTCGTCTATAAGCACACTAAGCAACCAGGGCAATAAATATCCTTATCTAATCCCTGTCATCATAAGAAACCATACCCTGTTTTCCCACACTCCCTAATGTGTCTCACTCGGTTCATAAAAATGCTTCATAGCAGTTAATCCAACTTAATGCCTGTTCTGTGCATTTATAGCACTTGTCACTTTCCTTCTCCCCCCTCCCCCACTCCCTTTTTTTTTTTTTTTTTTAAGTATAGCTCCTTAGGTGCTCTGTGCAAACACTTCATCCACGCATCCACTTCCCTTTCTAAATTTCTTCTGTAATTTTTGAAAACATGATTTCTATGTTTTTCTTTACACAGTGTCAAAATTCTGCTATTCCTTATCTAGTATAATTATTAAATCTGATTCCCTATAATTTTTTCTCTCATTTCTTTCACTTTTGCACAGTGGAACTACTCATACTTTTGCCTGTCCTTAGACTCCTTACCTTACTTTTTTTTTTTTTTTTTTTTTTACATCGTAGAAATTTGTACAAGTCACTAATGTGTTTCAGATCATATAGTTCAATTAAGTAAAATATTTAAGATCACTGTATAGTGTTGATCTATTGTGTAAAATATTTCTTGCTTTTTCTTTGTATTAAATAGTAAGTTTACTAGTAGCTCTGGCTTAACTGCCCAATATGATAATTCTTGTCTTTACAGGTCGAGTGATTGACTGTGCTTTTACACTGACTTTTGATAACAAGTACGACAAGTTGGTGGAGGCTGTTCGTGCTGCTACCAACACTGGCATTCGGGAGGCTGGTATTGATGCTCGACTCTGTGATATTGGGGAGGCTATTCAGGAAACGATGGAAAGTTATGAAGTCGAACTAGGTGGCAAGGCTTACCAAGTAAAGTGCATCCGTAACCTGAATGGGCACTCTATTGCTCCATATAGTGAGTATTACAAGTAGTGAAGATTCAGGTTTATGTGGGCTTGCTTGGTTTCCGATGGATTCTACCTTCTGTGGGAACTTCGTACTCCCTAAGGGACTGGCACGTACACATGTGTATACATTTTAGCACATTAACTGTTGCATACCCAGAAATTAAATTTAAAAGGAAATGGGAGGGGGGAGTGTAAGTAAAAAAATAAGGAAATTAAGAGTGAATATTGGAAAGGGCAAGGTAATGAGAGTAACAAAAAGTTTAGGTAATGAATCATTGGATATCAGATTGAAAGGAGGGAGTACGGAGCAAGTAAATGTGTTCAGATATTTGGGAATGGACTTGTCAGCAGACAGGTCTATGAAAGACGAGGTGAACTAGAGAATTGATGAGGAATAAAAGGATGGTGCAGAGACAAAGAATGTTATCCATGGAGGCAAAAAAGCAGAATATATGAGAGTATAGTGGTTCCAACACACAAGGGTGTGAAACATAGATTTTAAATGTTGGTGAGGAGGAGGCTGTAGGTGTTGGAGATGTTATATCTGAGGACAGTGTGTAATGTGAATATTGTACATAGAATTTTTAGTTAGGAGAATAGGAGGTGGTACGGGTCTACTAAAAATATCCAGAGGGCTGAGGAAGGGTTATTGAGGTCGTTTGAACATTTAGAGGGGATGGAGAAAAATAGAATGATTTTGAGGGTGTATAAATCTGTAGTGGAGGGAGGGTAAGGTAGAGGTTTGTCCTAGAAAAGGTTGGAGGGAGGAAGTAATTAGGTTCAGCATTCAAGGGGCTTTGACATACAACAAGGTGTATATAAACATATTAAACAGGAATGAATGGAGGCAAGTAGTTTTCATTACTTGTCATGCTGTTTAACCCTTTCGGGGTTTCGGCAGTACTAGTACGGCTTACGCACCAGGGTTTTTGACGTACTAGTACGCATAAATTCTAGTGCCCTCAAATCTAGCAAGAGAAAGCTGGTAGGCCTACATATGAAAGAATGGATCTATGTGGTCAGTGTGCGCAGTATAAAAAAATCCTGCAGCACACAGTGCATAATGAGAAAAAAAAAACTTTGACCGTGTTTTTGGTTTAAAACAGCGACTTTGCACTGTATTTTCGTATGGTATTTATTGTTGTATTCTAGTTTTCCTGGTCTCATTGTATAGAATGGAAGACATATAACAGAAATTGAGATGATATTGACTGGTTTTACAATGAAAAGTACCTTGAAATTGAGCTCAAAGTAACAGAAATGTTCAATTTTTACCAAAGTTCAAAAGTAAACAAATCATGCTAAGCGTCCAATACACGTCAACTGGTGAGTCTAATATTCTTTCACAAGTGCGCTGATATTATTTATACCATTTCTACACTAATGCAGTAGTCTGCATAACAGTAAATCTTATTATTTTTGTGAGAATAAAAAATCAAAATGGAAAGAAAAAGAAATGTAAGAGGAGCCTGGGGATGTGACTAATGAACAGAGGAAATGTTATTTTAGTGCCAGGAATGTCTTTCTTGTTTGTTCTGGACCCTATTTGGAAATTGGCATCTTTTGAAATTTGTGTGAAATTGGCAAAATTGCTAAATTCTGACCACTTTATTGGATAGTTGAAATCGGTAAATGGGTGGTTTCTTGTACTCATTCGATAGAAAAAAATGGAGTTCTAGCGGAATAGTTATGATTTTTGTCGACTAGTACACCGGAATTGGCCAAAAATAGGGCTCAAAGTGGGCAAAATCGCTGATGCGTAAACATCTTTGAGACTGATAACTTCACGAGAGCGTAATTCCATAAGTTTTCCACCAAATTTCATACTTTTGGTGTCATTATGATCGGAAAAAGATTCTCTAACTTTTCATAAGATTTTTTTTTTTTTTTTTTTTTTTTTTTTTTTTTAAATTTTGGCGACCCTGAGAACAAGTCTCTGAGAGGGCCTGGCGACCCTCAAAGGGTTAAGTGTGAGCAAGGTAACATTCGTGAAGGGATTTAGGGAAATCCATTAGCTGGACTTGAGTTCTGGTGGTGGTAACTTTCCCAGCACTTAACATTTTGAAAAAAGCAGAAAGACAGAACCGACTATGCTTAGAATCTGCTTGGATTGCCACGACTAACACCATCACACAGAAATTAGGTTCATTCCTAATGAAACACTGGCTGCAATTATTCTCACAGGATGACAGTGCTGTTACATTCAACTACATGGAGAAGTAGCGAAGATGGCATACTGACTTGCCTAATTTTAAACCTAGATGTTTCTATATGGCTGAGCAGCACATTGTGGGTGACCTCATTAGTCAGTCTCTACACCTCATGTCTCTCCAATTTCTATGTGTGCGTTCGTGTTCTCTTGTTTTATCCATGTTCGTGAGAATGGATGAAGTCCCTGGTGAACAAAACGTCTTTCAGTGAAATGCCATGAACTGCATATTGTATCTCATTAACATATTTGTCATTATATTCTGCTGTTGATATGCTCTATGTACTCAGCTTGACCATAAATGAAGGGAAAAGCAAACCCATTTGTTTACCTCATTGGTCCATCTCCAACCAAATTAGAGTGGCCCCAAACAAAGGAAACAATCATCATCCTGCAATCCCTCTCATACAGAAGTGAAGTACAGTACCTGTGTATCACCTGGTGGTCTTTTCAGAAATATACTAGGTAGTATCTTTGCTTGTTAAAGAAATTATCATTGCTATACCATTTAACACACTGCATATGTCATAATTTGATAACACAGAAAATGGTAGCATAATCATATTAGTTACAGCTTTTAACAGTGGTGGACTTACCAGTGAGCAGACTAAGGGGCAACTTCCAAGGGGTGAGTGGTCAAATCGTTATCCATTTGTTTCTTAATGCTTTGTGAGTTGTGGCCCTCTAACATTAGACAGTTTGTGATGACACAGTGACCACAAATATTTATGTGTATTTTACAAGCAATTTTGGTTATGATATTAAAGCTCATTCTTAAGTTCTCCATTTTTTTTTTTTTTAACACTGGTGGTCTTCCACCAAGGTAGGGTGACAAAAGAAACTTTCATCATCATTAACTCCATCACTCTTGCCAGAGGTGTGCCGATACTACAGTTTAGATGCCCCTCCAAACGGCAAATGTTTCCACCCCCTCCTTCAAAGTGCAGGCACTATTTCCCACCTTGAAGACTCGAGTCTGGCTAACAGGTTTCCCTGAGTCCCTTCATGAATAGTTACTTTGCTCACACCCCAACAGCTCGTCAAGTCCCAAAAATCATTTACTTCCACTCACTTCTATCTAACACACATGCCTGCTGGATGTCCAGCATCTCGCTTTCAAACCCTTTACCCTCCCTCCAACACTTCCTAGGAAGACTCCCTTCCCCACCTTCCCTCCATTACAGATTTTTATGCCTTCCAAGTCATTCTGTTTTGCTCCATCCTTTCTAAATGTCTAGACCACCCCAACGACCCCTCCCCAGCCCTTTAGATAATACTTTTAGTAACTCCACACTACCTAATCTCCAAGCTATGAATTCTCTGCATAATATTCACACCATACATTGCCCTCAGACACAACATCACTGTGTCCAGCCTCCTTGTTGCAACATTCACAACCCATGCTTCACAACCATATAAAAGTGTTGTTACCACTATACAGTGGACCCCCGCTTAACGATCACCTCCCAATGTGACCAATTATGTAAGTGTATTTATGTAAGTGCGTTTGTACGTGTATGTTTGGGGGTGTGAAATGGACTAATCTACTTCACAATATTCCTTATGGGAACAAATTCGGTCAGTACTGGCACCTGAACATACTTCTGGAATGAAAAAATATCGTTAACCGGGGGTCCACTGTACTCTTGTACATTCTCCTCCCTACCTTCATTGATATTGTTCTTGTCTCCACAGATGCTTCAATGCACCACACATTTGGCTCACCTTGTCTCTCGTATACCTATTCGCTGACAAGTGTTCTCCCAAATACAGTGGACCCCCGGTTATCGGCCGTAATCCATTCCAGAAGGTCGGCCGATAACCGAAATGGCCGAAAACTGAATTAGTATTTCCCATAAGTATTAATGGAGATACAATTAATCCGTTCCAAACAAAAATATTCACAAAAAATTTTTTTTTTTTTAACAATTATGTAAGCATTACATACCTTTATTGAAGGCTAATGCTGGCTTCTGGAAGATAGGGAGGAGGAAAGAGGAAGGAGTTAATGTTTGGAAGGGGAATCCCCCTCCATAAAGACTAGGTAGCAAAGCCTTTAAATAACAAAAAGGCACAATACCGTGACTCAAACAATACACAAATAACCCACATATAGAAGAGAGGAGCTAATGACGTTTTGGTCCGATTTGGACCATTTACAAAGTCACACTGTGTGACTTTGTAAATGGTCCAAGTCGGACCAAAACGTCGTCATTAGCTCCTCTCTTCTATGTGCAGGTTATTTGTGTATGTGTAGCAAAGCCTTCTCTGGGGTTACTTCCCTTCTCTGTCTTTTAATGCCACTAGGACCGGCTTGAGAGTCACTGGACCCCTGTCTAACAGAATACCTGTCCAGAGTGCTCTGTTTTAGGCATCTCTCTAAGATTTCCCTGAAGTGGGATAGGGTTTTGTCACTAAACATGTTGCAGATATGGCTTGTTTCAGCTTTGTCAGGGTGGTATTTCTCTACAAAAGCTTGCACCCTAGTCCACATTGCACACACCTCTTTAATCTCTGAAGAAGGCACCTCCTTCACTCCCTCTTCCCTCGTGCAATGGAGGATACTGAAGTGATTCCTCCAGAACTGTCTTAGAGTCAACTGAGTGTCCGACGTCACTTCAAAGCACTTTTGAAACACTGCTTTTGTGTAGAGTTATTTTGAAGTTAGAAATGACCTGTTGGTCCATGGGCTGGAGGAGAGGAGTGGTGTTAGGAGGCAAGAACTTTACTTTTATAAAATTGAAGTCCCTAAACACTTGGTCTTCCAAGTCAGGAGGATGTGCAGGAGCATTGTCCAGTAACAGGAGGCACTTGAGTGGCAGTTTCTTTTCCAGGAGGTATTTTTTCACACTTGGGCCAAATGCATCATTAACCCACTCTTTGAAAATTTGCCTTGTGACCCATGCCTTATGATTAGCTTTCCACATCACACACAATCTATTCTTCATGACATTGTTTTTCTTGAATGCTCTGGAATTTTCTGAGTGATACACGAGTAAAGGCTTCACTTCGAAATCCCCACTAGCATTACCACACAACAAAAGAGTAAGCCTGTCTTTCATAGGATTTTGTCTTGGCAGTGCCTTTTCCTCCTGGGTAATTTGGGTCCTGTTTGGCATTTTCTTCCAAAACAGGCCTGTTTCATTACAATTGAACACTTGTTGGGGTTCGAATCCTTCAGCCTTTACGTAGTCCTGGAATTCGTGAACATACTTTTCAACCACACGTTTGTCAGAACTTGCAGCCTCACCATGCCTTACAACACTGTGTATGCCACTAAGCTTCTTAAATCTATCAAACCATCCTTTGCTGGCCCTAAATTCACAAACTACAGCACTTGTTCTAGGCATTTTCTTTGCAAGATCCTCCTGCAACTGCTTTGCCTTCTCACAAATAATCGACTCCACTACACTGACTCCCACTAATTCTTTTTCCTTAATCCACAATAACAACTTTTCCATCTCTTCCATTATTGGTGGCCTTTGTTTAGTTAGACAAGTTACAGCTTTTGCAACATTAGCATCTTTGATTTGTTCTTTCTTTGCTAGGATGGATGTAGTTGTTGATTTATTCTTGCTGTACTTCCTGGCAAGTTCCATCACCTTCATACCACCGGGGGTCCACTGTATCTGAACACATTTACTTCCTCCATACTCCCTTCTTCCAGTGTGATACAGAATCAATCATTACCCAACTCATTTGTTGCCCTCATCACCTTACTCTTTCTTATAATCACTTTTAATATCCTTCCTTTACATATGCTCCCAAATCCGTCCACCAACCCTGGCAACTTCTCTTCAGTCTCATATTTTGTTGAATATTTTGGAGAAATCAAATTTTATGACATGCTCACAGTAGCCAGTTGCCGTCTTAAAATAAATTGTACATCTGGTCTAATGTTAAAAGTTTTATTTCCACTTGTGTATCATCTGATAGCAGCAAGGATCTCCCAAAATGTTGTTCTTCTCAGGGCTTCCGAACTTCTAAATCTACTACTGACTTTTAGCACTGGGCATTTTTATTTTGAAACAGCTGTACATTAAAGCCTATTTGATTGTGGAAGTATGCATTCCTGAGCACCTGCAATCTGAGGGTAATATGTGGAAATACTTGAGCACCCAAAGTATAAATTTTTCTTTACATTATTAATGTAAATGTAAGGCGTATGACAGGGTGGATAGGGGGGCAATGTGGCAGATGTTGCAGGCGTATGGTGTAGGAGGTAGGTTACTGAAACCAGTGAAGAGTTTTTATGAGGATAGTGAGGCTCAAGTTAGAGTATGTAGGAAAGAGGGAAATTATTTCCCAGTAAAAGTAGGCCTTAGACAAGGATGTGTGATGTCACCGTGGTTGTTTAATATATTTATAGATGGGGTTGTAAGAGAAGTAAATGTGAGGGTCTTGGCAAGAGGCGTGGAGTTAAAAGATAAAGAATCACACACAAAGTGGGAGTTGTCACAGTTGCTCTTTGCTGATGACATTGTGCTCTTGGGAGATTCTGAAGAGAAGTTGCAGAGATTGGTGGATGAATTTGGTAGGGTATGCAAAAGAAGAAAATTAAAAGTGAATACAGGAAAGAGTAAGGTTATGAGGATAACAAAAAGATTAGGTGATGAAAGATTGGATATCAGATTGGAGGGAGAGAGTATGGAGGTGGTGAATGTATTCAGATATTTGGGAGTGGACGTGTCAGCGGATGGGTCTATGAAAGATGAGGTGAATCATAGAATTGATGAGGGGAAAAGGGCGAGTGGTGCACTTAGGAGTCTGTGGAGACAAAGAACTTTGTCCTTAGAGGCAAAGAGGGAAATGTATGAGAGTATAATTTTACCAACGCTCTTATATGGGTGTGAAGCATGGGTGACGAATGTTGCAGCAAGGAGAAGGCTGGAGGCAGTGGAGATGTCATGTCTGAGGGCAATGTGTGGTGTGAATATAATGCAGAGAATTCGTAGTTTGGAAGTTAGGAGGAGGTGCGGGATTACCAAAACTGTTGTCCAGAGGGCTGAGGAAGGGTTGTTGAGGTGGTTCGGACATGTAGAGAGAATGGAGCGAAACAGAATGACTTCAAGAGTGTATCAGTCTGTAGTGGAAGGAAGGCGGGGTAGGGGTCGGCCTAGGAAAGGTTGGAGGGAGGGGGTAAAGGAGTTTTTGTGTGCGAGGGGCTTGGACTTCCAGCAGGCATGCGTGAGTGTGTTTGATAGGAGTGAATGGAGACGAATGGCTTTTAATACTTGACGTGCTGTTGCAGTGTGAGCAAAGTAACATTTATGAAGGGGTTCAGGGAAACCGGCAGGCCGGACTCGAGTCCTGGAGATGGGAAGTACAGTGCCTGCACTCTGAAGGAGGGGTGTTAATGTTGCAGTTTAAAAACTGTAGTGTAAAGCACCCTTCTGGCAAGACAGTGATGGAGTGAATGATGGTGAAAGTTTTTCTTTTTCGGGCCACCCTGCCTTGGTGGGAATCGGCCAGTGTGATAATAATAAAAATAAAAATTATTAATGGATTCAAATCATTGTTAGTGTTCAGGGTGTAGGGGAGGGAGGAAGCAGTTCCCTTGATGGTGAAAGGTTCTTGATCCAAGGAGTTACAGCTACTCTCCCATTGCTTAGATCAAACATGATTGCCTACCATTCCCCAGGTACTGTCCCTTCTGGGCTTAGTGCCTCATTAATATAACAACATACAGTGGTACCCCGAGTTTCGTACTGCTCCCAGCTCGAACAAGTGTAAGTGTATTATTGTAAGTGCTTTTGTAAGTGTATTTTTGGGGGTCTGAAACAGACTAATCTAATTTACATTATTCCTTATGGGAACAAATTCGTTCAGTAACAGTACTCGAAAAGCCTTCTGGAATGAATTATGTACGAAACGCAGGGTACTGTACCTGTAATGATGAGGCAAAACTTTTTTTTTTTTTTTCAGATATTTTGCATTATCATCTCTAAGCTGCACACTGGCAATATTTTGTACATCTGCTTGGCTATTAAGCTGAAGATGAGGGAAAGCTAGATAGCTAAGAAGAATGCAGAGGGGACTGGAGATGAAAGTAACTGACTTTCTGTGGGTTGTTAGGTTTCATATGCAACAGAATAATGTGAGAGATTAACCAGGAGCTCCAGGGAAGAGATGTTAGCAGCTAAGCAGGCAGTCATGGACTGAGAAATGACATGTGTGGATATCTTATGAGCTATACTAATCTTGTCAGTCACCATGATGGCTTGTTTCGTGAGGTGCATGGCCTGTATCAAGAATTAGGCTTACAGCAAGCTCTTAATACATTTTCATTGTTTTCAGGGATACATGCTGGGAAGACAGTGCCAATTGTAAAAGGAGGTGAAGCTGAGGTCATGGAAGAGAATGAAGTTTATGCTATAGAAACTTTCGGATCTACTGGTCGTGGATATGTTCATGATGACATGGAAACCTCCCATTACATGAAGAATTTTGATGTTGGACATGTTCCTCTGCGGTAAGCTACTAGTTTTTCGAGATCCTTCTGATTTTCCTGACAGATACTTTACTGAAAATTATTATTTAGCTTGTGAAAAATACAAATGCCTAGGTTTGTAAAAAAATGACAATTTAATAATAAAAGGAGTATATTCAATTGTTGGTATCTTGAATTCTAAGACTGGCCAAGTCGAAGCATCTGCTGAATGTGATCAACCAGAACTTTGGCACTCTGGCCTTCTGCCGTCGCTGGCTAGACCGTTTGGGAGAAACCAAGTACCTGATGGCCCTCAAAGATCTCTGTGATAAGGTTTGCCACTTTTTATTTCACTCTTGGTAGAGTTTATGTATGTATATATTTAAGTATGAATTATTTTTTCACATTGTTTTACGTATGTATATGTTTGTATATGTATGCATGTATACAAGAGGGTCCCACTTATACTGCAGGTTAGGTTCCAGGCTACCGTCGTAAAGAGAATCGCCTTTTTTTTTTTTTTTTTTTTTTTTTTTTTTTTTTTTTTTTTTTTTTTTTTTTTTCACTTTAAATGCACACAAATGCTCAATACCATTTTTTTTTTTTAATACGTCTACCGTTTCCCACCGAGGCAGAGTGACCCAAAAAGCAAGAAAAAAACTTTGATCATCATTCAACACTTTCACCATCACGCATACATAATCACTGTCTTTGCATAGGCGCTCAGATATGATAGCTTAGACGTCTCTCCAAACTGCCAATGTCCCAAACCCCTCGAGTTCGGCTAAGTGGTTTTCCTGAATCCCTTCACACAATATTACCCTGCTTACACTGCAACAGCTTGTCAGGTCCCAAAAACCATTCATCTCCATTCACTCCTATCTGATGCTTGCTGGAAGTCCAAGCCCTTGCCACACACAAACCTCCTTTACACCTTCCCTCCAACCTCTTTGAGGATGGCCTCTAACCTACCCTCCCTCCCCTTTAGATTTATATGCTCTCCAAGTCATTCTACTTTGTTCCACTCTCTCTAAATGACCAAACCACCTCACCAACCCTCTTCAGCCTCTGACCAATACTTTTAATAACTCCACACCACCACCTAATTTACATACTATGAATTCTCTGCATGATATTTATACTACACATTGCCCTTAAATAGGACATCTCTACTGCCTCCATCCACCCCCTCGCTGCAGCATTTACAACCCATGCTTCACACCCATATAAGAGTGTTGGCACCACTACTCTCTTGTACATTCCCTTCTTTGCTTCCATGGATAATGTTTTTGTCTCCTCAGATACCTCAGTGCACCACTCGCCTTTTTTCCTGATAACATGTTTATGCTATAATATATTAAGTTAGCAATAGATCTAGGCATAAAAAGTAAATGCACCTACAGTACACTCATTACTTACCTTAAAATATTTGTAGTCTTAATGTAGGGTGAAAGGCGAGTAGATTTATTGTAGGAAGTTAGGTGGTGTGGTAGCCTACCCGGCTACCACACCTCACAGTTATGTTAATTTGTTTCCCCAAGGCACTAACCTGGCACCTCTGCTGTTTCTCATCCTCCTAGCAGACATAGATATAAACACCTGTCACAGTTTTATATCATCATTTGCAGATGACACTAAAATATTGGTTGAAGACAACGAACAATAAACCCTTTCAGGGTTTCCGACGTACTAGTACGCTTATGCGCCAGGGTTTTTGCCGTACTAGTATGCATAAATTCTAGCGCCTTCAGATCTCGCGGGAAAAGGCTGATAGGCCTAGATGTGAGAGAATGGGTGTATGGGGTCAGTGTGCACGGTAGAAAAACAATCTGGGACCCAGTGGCGCATTGTGGGAACGCCATTTTAGTAGACCTTGTTCACCATGCCTCGCGGTAAGAAGCTCCTCACTCCTCGGCGAATTGGGACACTTTTGTTCCCCAGTGGCAGTTCTAATACAGATGGAAGTGCAAGTGAAGATAAGTTTCAAGGTTTTGGTGAGGTTGTGACTGAAACTAATGACCATAATACGGGTAATAGTGAGGAAAACCCAGACGACCCTCACCCCTTCCACCTCTGCTGCTGGGCTGTCTTGTTCACGTTCAGTTGTACCAGAATCAAAGAGGAAACTCCTATTTTCCCAAATCCTGGACTCAGATTTGACCATTGGTGATGATAGTGATAGTGAATATGAAACTACAAGCTCTTGAAAACAGTTCCAGTAGTGATAGTGAAGTGGAATATTTTCCAGTGAAGCGTCAGTATATACGACGATATATTGCGCTCTGGTAGTGTGCCATATGCTATTCCAAGGGGGAAAGGAGTACATCCTGTGGCTGTACAACAGGAACAGTGAAAATGAAGATGACAGTGTTGCAATTGGGATGGAAAATGTGCATGGTGGTGGTAGTGGTGGTGCCGGCCGTGAGGCACCAGCAGTGGGCCATGCTGCCACCCACGCCGCTGCCCTCAGCTGATCTACAAACAAAGGCCACCATCCCCCACCCACCCACCACACCAGCCTCCACAACCACAAACTCCACAACCACCTGTCAATGTCCAGTACCCACCAGCAGACCGCACCTGGCATTGGCAGGAAGCTGCCAATTTTGTTCCAAATCCCCACCAGTTTGATGAAAGCCGAAGTGGAATATGGCCATGTTGTACACTGGGGAACAATGCCAGTGAGCTGGAATGTTTCGAGTTTATTCTTTGATGAACTCCTGATGGAAATTGTCAGGGAAAGCAACAGATACTACGAGTACACCATGGCAAACACAATACTTTCACCAAAATCACGCCTACACAAGTGGAAGGAGACAACTGTGGCTGAGATGTATCTTTTCTTTGCCACAATAATGCTTATGCCACATGTGTATAAGCACAGTGTGAAATCATACTGGTCAACAGACTGCCTGATTGCAACCCCAGGTTTCAGTGATATAATAGAGTGAATCGATTTGTGCTACTATTATGTATGCTTCACTTCTCAGACAAAACAGGCCTGACAGAAAACGACAGGTTATATAAGATTAGGAGTGTGTTTATGTATCTGAAAGAGAAATTCAATGTATTTTTATCCCTTCAGGAAGCTTGTAATTGACGAGTCTTTGATTCTGTTCAAAGGAAGACTTTCTTTCAAGCAGTACATACCAAGCAAGAGGAAATGCTTTGGTATAAAGTTGTTTGTGCTTTGTGATTCCTACAGTGGTCTTGTATTGGATATTATTGTGTACACTGGAAGTTATACATTGCAAAATACCAGGAAGTTAATTGGGCATCTCTGGTGATGTGGTTAGAACATGATAGAACCATACCTTGGTAAGGGGCATATATATTATATACTGATAATTGGTACACAAACCCCTTACTCAGTGGTTTTTTGCGGGTGAACATGACAGATGTGTGTGGCACAGTGCGTGCAAATCTTTATACATACGCCCAGTTTGACGCTGGCACTCGTAGAGGCGAGGTGCAGGCGTTTGCTGCCAATGACATCATGGCATTTCGGTGGCATGACAAACGAGATGTCACACTGTTGTCATCAGTTCACCCTAACGAAATGACAAAACACTGGCAGGCAGCATAGAGACAGCATTGAACCCATTCTAAAACCTGCAGCTGTGATTGATTACACCCTCAATATGCACTCAGTGGACAAATGTGACATGCAGATTGGGTTTGCTGATTGTGTTCGCAAGAGTTATAAGTGGCACATAAAACTCTTTCCATCTTCCGGACATTTCCATACTCAGTGCTTATATAATATATATAAGATGAGGACCAGAAACAAACCACCATATGGCAAATTCTGTTTGTCATCAGACAAATAGTATTCAAGTACCAAGGAACAACACCTGCAATAGAAAACCGCCCACAAAATTATCAACAACTACCTTCTCGTCTGAAGCATGGTGATCACTTCCTAGTAAAACTGCCTGCTACTGATTTCAAGAAAAAGGCTCAGAAGAGGTGTTACGTCTGTGCACATACAAAAAAAATGCCCACAACAACGCAGAGACACTCGTTTTATGTGTGAGGAATGTAAAACACCACTGTGCATGACACCATGTTTCAAAGACTTCCACAGACTGCAGAACTTCTAGAAACATTCCCTGTGACTGTATATGTGTATATAAATATAGAAAAATAATAATAAACAACATTTCATATCGTTTGTGTGTGTAAACAATTATAAACAATATAAGGACAACAGTGTTTGTGCAGTTATTGTGTAGTAAATAAAGAGAAAAAACTTACAAAATAGTGCTCATATTGGTCTCACAGGCCATAAAAGTTACTTGAAAAAAAAAAAAAAAAAAAAAAATAATAGAAAATACCAAAAAACTAATTAAACTAAAACCGGGTGACTGGCAGTCGGCAATGTTGCCACATGCCGGTCATTTTTTGTCAACTTCACGCCTCCATATCTCCGTAAGTATTGATGGTAAAAAATTTTTGTTTAGCCTATAAGATTAAAAAAAAAAATCTATCTTTTCATAATACCTCTGATATACCTTTGAAGAATTTCGAGAGTATATCTACTCTCTGAGCCCGGCCATGGGCCAGGCTCATCTGGTGCCCGCCTGGTCAACCAGGCTGTTGCTGCTAGAGGCCCGCTGCCCCACATATCCATCACAGCCTGGTTGATCTGGCACCTGGTGAAGATACTTGTCTAGTTTCCTCTTGAAGACTTCAACACTTGTTCCAGCAGTGTTTCTGATATCTTCTGGTAAGATGTTGAAAGTCTGGGACCCCGGATGTTGATACAGTGTTCCCTTATTGTCCCCACCGCACCCCTGCTCCTCACTGGGTTTATTTTATATTTCCTCCCATATCTCTCACTCCAGTATGTTGTTACCTCCATATCTCACTCCAGTATGTTATGGCAGTGTGCAGATTTGGGACCAAGCCCTCGAGTACCTTCCAGGTATATATTATCATGTACCTCTCTCCTCCACTCCAATGAGTACATGTTCAAGACTTGCAGGCGTTCCCAGTAGTTTAGGTGCTTTACTGGCTCAATGTGAGCCGTAAATGATCTCTGTATTTGTTCCAGCTCCGATATTTCTCCTGCCCTGAATGGGGCCGTCAGCACTGAGCAATATTCTAAGTGAGGGAGCACTAGCGATTTGAAGAGTGTCACCATCGGCATTGTTTCCCTTGTTTTGAAAGTTCTCAATACCCACCCAGTCATCTTTCTGGCTGTAGTGATCTTTGACTTATGGTCTTTAAAAGAAAGGTCCGCTGACATAATTATTCCCAGGTCTTTTACGTGTTCCTTACATTCTATTTGGTGACCTTCTTGAGTTTTGTATGTAGTGCTCCTTTTGAGT